CCCCCCCCCCCCCCTCTGATGAATTTCAAAGCTGTTTCCTCGTGGCTGCATGGAAGACTCGCAGAGCGAATAAACATCTGGTCCCCTACCCCGCGCGCTCTCTCCAGCATGAAAACACCCGGCATGATAATCTTTGGTTGGTAAATGACGGGAAAAACCAGGCACCAGCAGCAAGGGGACGAGGAAAGAAACCGCTAGCCGAGCGCACGACGTGACATCATGCCGACGAATTCTGAACTACTTACCATTCTGCCAGGTGTACAATGGCCGTGTGTACGACCTCCTTTCAACAGAGGATTCCAACGAACAGAGGCCACTCCGGGTACACGTCACCGCAGGCAGGCCGGCTACGGCGACGAAGCCGTGCCACCGTGCCCACGTCGCGGACAGCGATAGCCGGGGTGTGAACAACACCGAGAGGAAAAGCAATGCTAACTCTACAACGGCAGCGGGGACAGGGAGCTACGGCTCTTCTTCGTTGCCCCGCGAGTGTAGCGCAAGTGGTAGCCGGGTCGTTGGGCTGTCGGTGCACCCGGTGAACAACGCCGAGCAGGTCATGGAGCTCCTCCGGCAGGGAGATCGAAACCGTCGAGTCAGATCCACCGAGGTGCGTGGGCGATGATACGGGAGACGAGGTGTTGTAGGTGCTATGTTGAACCGCATGTGTTGGTTCGACAGTGCTTGCCGCAACCTGCACGCCGAGCTGAACGTTTTGTGCCGTAAAATATGCCCGTTGAATGCGTCGTCCCGCACTGCAGTTTCCTCCGCATGCCCTGAGGCCTACGTCCATGTCACAATAGCCGGGAAACATTTCACGCGCAGTGCACAGAACCTGCATCTTGGCACCTGTAGAAACACACGTGTACTGTTGGTAAATGGCCATTCAAATCACGTGACATGGTTACACACGTCACGCATGGGAGAAAAGGCAAGCAGCGACCGGCATTCGATTGTGCTGCTTACCTTTGCCCGGGAACCACTATTTGCGCCTTTAATATTCCCACTTGCTCCTGAACGACACTCGGTCTCCCCTTTCGATGCAGATGAACTCACACAGCAGTCGCAGCCACACCATTGTCCAGTTCACCATCACCAGCACTCGATCTACAGCTGAACCTGGCATGGAAACTGCCCCACGCCTATCAAGTGGGGGAGATTACAGCGAAGTTGGTGTGGTTGTAGCTACCGACGAGTCTCAAGCGACAACAGACCAGATCAGGACAGTCTCACAGCATCCCGGGGAAGTCAGCAACGGAGACGGTGATGGCACTGCCGATAAAACTGCCCACGGCAACCACCAACACAGCAGTAGCCCCCACGGCAGCCACAGCCGAAACGACGGTGGCACTGGCGTGATGATGATGGTGCCGGAACACCGGTCCGAAACGGGCTCCGGCAACGCTGTCGTGACAACTCGAGCCAAGCTGAGCCTAGTGGATCTAGCGGGCAGTGAAAAGGGGGGGGCAGGGACGCAGACAGGATTGGCGGGAGGGCACAAACAGACGAGGGGATCCCAATCGCAACGCGGACCGCAGTTGCAAGGCGGGTTGGGGCCGCAAGGGGTGCCGTCGCAAACCCATGGCGAAAGCAGCTGGAAGGCTCAGGAGAGGGAGCGATCGAGGATCAACTCGAGCTTAAGCGCTCTTTCGAACTGCATCGCGTGCCTGGGAGAGGCACGAAGAACGCACGTCCCCTTCCGGGATAGCCCTTTGACGAGGTGAGGGGGGAAGTCTATTCAATGCTTTGGATCGTGAAAGGTGGGGCATAAGCAGGCGGAGAATAGAGTGCCAGAAGCAAACTTATGACTGAAGTGCCAAGGGCTTCTTTGTAAACGAGCAATATGCTTCTGCCAGGAACGAGCTACGCCCGGAGTGACACAAGGTTAAGGGGTATCAGGCTGCAATCAGGGCATCATTCCATAGGTATTGACCTCGTATCCTGGCAGGATCCCCCCGAAGGGTCTAGTTAGGATGGACAGATACATGCGATCCACCTACAACTGTACCGTAGAATGTCTTTGCCACAAGCTTACATCAGTCTCGGAATGTCTGAGAAGGGGAGGAACATGAAGCTTCGAGGCAAATGTGGTTCACTGCTTGTGACGTTCGTCCATATCCCTGTCAGACCACAGGGTTATTTTCGTTGCTACTGTTGCTGATGTTCTGGTTTTTCCAATGGGACCCGAGTGAGCTTGTATGCTGACCTACGAGAAGAAAACGCAGCTATCGGGCCGGTTTGGGATCGTTGTTAGATCTATACCCCCGCCTTTCTTCTCCATCGCCAACTCTAACAGACTTCTCCAGGACTCGCTTGTGGGAGGAAAAACGGTCGTCATTGCCACCATCCGCCCTTCAGTCGACGCCCAGGTAAAGAGGAATGGCGAAGAACGCTGTAGTCGTTGTGAAGCCTTGTTGAGCTTTTCATCTCACCAGAAACGAAGCACGTCCACGACATGCGTAGGTCACGATCAAGATAGAGAAAACCAACCGCTGTGGTCGCCCAACGCAAGGTCAAAACACTTGTCGCCGATGAATCCCCAACATGAAAACCATGCGCAGAAAGAGCTATTCTGACGCCCTGCACGACGATGGCATCACGCGAAAACGAGTCTACATTTTT